TTCACTTAATAACTTAAGTTTTTGTGATATTTGGTTGATCATAAAAACATAAACCCATATATGGGATTAGGTTGTTTCCTGATTTCCTCTATGCAGGGTTAGAATCTTATGAAAATTTTCTTTCGGCTCTTTAGCTAATATGTAGATCCTTGTAGAGTTCATTTTGTTGGCCTTTCTTGCTATAACACTTCTGTGACCAAACTAGTTTGGGGAAATAATAGAAATCCGCCCAATATTCTCCATTAAATCCAAAGTCCTTTTATTCATATTTTCTTATTTCATGAAGAGTTTTGGATTATTTGTGAAGCAACTAAGGTTCATCCTGTTCTTGATTGATTGTTTCATATTAATATGTTTGTTCTGTGTGTATGCGCATCGTGTTAAATACGGCTTTTTAGTTGACTCAAATTTCTATTATTTTCTCTTATAAAAACTTGGTTCCTCTAAACTAATTTTGAACTATCTATATAATTTTCAGATCCACCCCGGTGCCTTGAAGCAGGGAGGAATTCCCTTGGTTTCTTGTTGCATTTCTGCTGCAGAGCAAGCCAGTGTAAGTGGTATTATATTATATGAAGCAAATGGAGATCTTAAATTAAATAAGAATGCGAAATTCTGTGTCAAGCTGCAACAAGGGGATGTTTGATAAAACTGAAAAAGTTTATCTCTGAAATTCAATATTGAATTTTTAATTTTGAAAATCTTAAAAACTGAATTTGTATAGTTTTTAAGATTAGTGTTTCCAATAATGAGGATTAATCCAAAGAAACTAGTATCTGTTAATAAAACAAATGAGGGTGTTGTATTGGAGCTAACCATTGCTATTATCATTAAATTAATAGCATGTTTTACGTAAAGGAAAGAATCACTTCTGAAAGATTTTAGTAACTCCAAGAGCTGAATGTTTTCATCCTTATCTATTTTTTTATTTATTCGCAAGATATGAACAAGCGCGACTTAAACATCTCTAATGCTGAAATACTCAAATTCATATGTTTATTTATAGGCTAATACAAAATGTATGTTATTAAGTATCTGGTAAATAGTTACACTGAACACGTGTGAGTGAGGACATCACAGAGGTATTTATTTGGCTTAGGTAACCATTAGTTTGAGTATATTTAAATTTCACTGCTTATGAACGTTCATATGTGGCAGGTTCCCATTACTGTTCATTTTGATCATGGAACTTCAAAGCAAGATCTTGTGGAAGCAATTGAGCTGGTAATTTGTTTTACTACTTGCATAACAATCATACTTACAGAACCATTTCAATCTCAAAGATTATTCAGCATGCATATGTGGTTAGTTACTTAGTTATTGCTTTTTTATCTTCATACTTCTCTAAACTAAAACTGCATATGTTGAATGCAATGATTCCAGGGATTCAGTTCTGTGATGGTCGATGGTTCACATCTTTCTTTCAATGAAAATGTTGCATACACGGAATTTATATCATTATTGGCTCACTCAAAAGATATGTTGGTTGAAGCTGAGCTAGGAAGATTGTCTGGGACAGAAGATGATTTGACTGTCGAAGAATATGAAGCCAGGCTAACAGATGTTAATATGGTTGCTATCTCCCCTATGCTAATAACACAAAATTTTCTTCTGTGCTTTACATTCATATTGTTACTGTTGATCTTATTAATTTCAGGCACAAAAATTCATTGATGAGACTCGCATAGATGCTTTGGCAGTGTGTATTGGTAATGTGCATGGAAAGTACCCTGCAAGTGGTCCAAATCTCAGATTTGATTTGCTTAAGGTAATAGTACATTTCAGTTTGTGATCTTTACGCATTTTACTAATAAATTTATATATAACAAAAAACCGAAATAAAAAGTTCAAGACCATAAATTTTGGGAAAATTGCAAAAACCAGACTTCATGATTAAATATTTCCAATTTAAGAACAATTAGTGAAGAATGTTCAAAGAGTGGTTAAGGAATACGGACTAACCACTTATTTACTTAAAAATTTCAACCTGTTTTGCAATATATATATATATATATATTGTTTGCAGTATGCTTGTATGTTCTAGATCTTTAAGTGCTGCGACCTATAAACATTTTGAGAATACTACTTCTGCATGGTCTTTTCAATATTTTAAAAAATTTACCTATTTACATCCTTATAAATACTTTACAAATCTTTATTCTGTATTTTGAAGCATGGACACGTAAGATATTTTGAGAAAATGTTGTTGTTATTGATTGCATTTAACCTTTCAATGTTCCAAACTTGGATTCTTTTCCTTTCAAAAGGTATTTAAAAACTCTTCATTTACTCATTTACTTAGGGTTGCATTTTGAAGGGCTTCTTTTTACCCCTGCATATGTTTTATGATAGGAGTGTGCTCATGACTTCTCTACGAAAACTGGTGCTCTGCTCAAGGCTGTTTCCGTTTCTAACATGTAGAAATATTGGACACCTTTGTTGCATTATATTAGCTTCTTTGGCTCTCTGCTTTCCTTTAGTTCTTGTATTTTGGGAGGATATCTTATCTTCCCTCCTAGATGTACTTCTCTTTTTTATCTAATAAAATTTCTTCTATACTAAAAGAAGAAAATTCTCATAGTTCCTTATTCAACTTGAGTAGAAGTGTCCCTATTGAATGATAAACAAAGAAAATGGCAGATTATAAAAGAGATAACAAATTGTGTTTCCCACCTCTGAAGTGTGTGTGAAAAGCACTTTTGGTTGCTGAATATATTCTATAAATTAACCATCTCTTCAATACGGTTAGTTCAATGTGGCCTTTGAATCTGTATTTGTGGAATAACATCCATACAAGTTTGATGATACTGAATTGTCATTCAATGGAATTGATTTTGCTTGAAGCTGCTTTATTTTCTTAGTTTTTAAGTCTTCCTTCTTTTATCTTTTTTTTTTTTAATTTTTTTTTTTTTGGGTTTGGGAGGAGAGGGATGCCTAATATTTCTCGATGCATAGTCATTTAACCCATACGTGAGGTTTTCTTTTCAGTTTTGTAATTTTGACTTCTACTACGTTTAGGAGCTGCATGATTTGAGCCTGAAGAAAGGAGTTTTTCTGGTGCTTCATGGTGCGTCTGGTTTGTCCAAAGAACTTGTTAAGGTACAGTTGCATACATATCAGATTTTGGAAATTACCCTTTTTGGTCTGTCAAAGTAGCATTCACATGTTATGAGCATTGAGCTCAAGGTACAAATGCTATACATCACATATTTTGCAGTTTATATTGCTAACCTCATAAGAACTTATTGATTCCTGACAGGAATGCATAAATCTTGGCGTTAGAAAGTTCAATGTCAACACCGAAGTAAGGAAGGCATACATGGACTCCCTCATTACTCCCCAGAAAGATCTAGTTCATGTTATGGCTACTGCAAAGGAAGCCATGAAAGCTGTGGTTGCAGAAAAGATGCATCTCTTTGGTTCAGCAGGAAGGGCATGATTTCTGCAAATTTACTAGCAAGGATTATTGGTGTGACTGTCAACTGCATATTTTTTTGCTATTAAGTTATCTTTTTTTTTCTTTTTTTTGGTGTAAATGCTATTAAGTTATCTTCTAATAAGGAATATTATTGCATCATGAATTCATAATTTCTTATTTACTTGCCTTGTACTTGAGTTGCATAAATTTATACAAATGATCAACAGTGATAACTATCGTGCAGAACCCAAATTACCTTCTTTATAATCTTAGTTTTGCGAAGCGCCACTGAGTTTTATTTTTTGTTTTTATTGAGGTGTACTAGTTTCATAGGCTTTGGACGAATTAGTGTTTTTTTTTTAAATATAAAATTAATTTTAAGGTTTGACTTGTCTGATTTTTAAAATTATGACAAGAATCTTATCCACTTTTTAAAAGTAAAAATATTTTGAAATTAGTTTTCCAATAATTTTAAAGAAAATTACATTAATGTTCCAAAAGGGAAAGAAAGCAAGCTACAACTTTATGCATCTTACTTTACTTTATAAATTGGGTTTGGTGTTTATTTTTTTAAAGGACATAGAATTGTGTTATTTTAAATAAGAAAAAAAGATACATAATAAAAATTATGAGAGAGAAAGTAATTTTTTTAATTTAAATTTTAAATAAAAAATATTAATTTTAACTAAAATGACCATAAATTTTATAAAATATAACTTTTATTACTATTTGTATCCATTTTAATTTGAGATGAGAAATCTTAAATACTTATTGAAAATATAACTTTCTTTAAAATTATTATAAGATCACGTTATTGAAAGAACAAGTGTGTCTAACCACGTTCAACTTTCATCGGTTACCTCATTTAATATTAATTAAAGTTTAGATTCTGAAAACAACAAAATTGACTTAATTCACTTCATATTCACTAACATAAGTTTGAAGTTTGAACGCGCACGAGATTTCGATAACATCTTTCAGTTATAAAATAACGTATGACACGTCATTTAATTACGCATACGATTATTTCCCTTGAGTTTTGAATTTAAATGCATAGCAACAAGTAACTGTTTACTTCTCTGTTTACAGATTTGATGCTAAATATTATTAAATTATAAAAAATACATATTTAAAATACAAGTATAATTTTTATTACGTAACTTTAATTACTTAGTTTATAATTTTTTTTATATATATATATATATATATATATATATATATATATATATATATATATATAAAAGATTGGATTCTTTGATACATTTGTCAAACTTTAAAATTTGATATCAAATCCTAACCGTTAATTTTTTGTCTAACGGTTATAATTTATTGAGAATTAATAGTTTATTGATAAGTTTGATTCTCAATAAATGATAATCGTTAAGACAAAAATCAATAATTAAAATTTGACACCGGCATAAAAAAATATTAATTATATATATATATATAGAATTGAACCCTTTACATTAATTATATAATAACTTGATTTTTCAGGTGTGATTGACTTTTTGGGTCAAAGTCAAATGCTATACTATATATATATATATATATATATATATATATATTGAGAGAGAGAAAGAACATAGGTGAAATTTTTAGATAAGTTAGAATCACGAGTTACTCACTAAGTGGCGATTCAATCGCATAATTCACATACCCTTTATCTTCAATGGCTGATCTGAGCCAAAAAGCGGAGATCTTTGAGCTCAACAATGGGAGCATGCAGGTCCTCATCACTAATCTCGGCTGCACAATCACCTCCTTATCCGTACCCAACAAAGATGGTACTGTTCTTCTTCAATCTCCATTCTCTTTCTCCTTTTCATTTCATTGCTCTTTTTTTTTTGTGTTATTGATACATGACATGATGATCATGATGATGATGATGGCTTTGTTTCCATTTTTAAAGGGGTGTTGTCTGACGTTGTTCTTGGCCTCGACTCTGTTGAATCCTATCAGGTCCAAATTACTCAAAATCCCTCCCTTTTTCTAATTTCGGGCGTTAATCGTACTGGGTGGTTTAGTTTTGGTATGAATTAGCGCTTATGTGAGTGATGGGTATTATGTTTCCCTTTTCAAAATTCAACCTTTCATGTTTGAACAATAGCTAGCATTATTTTATTGTTTTTCATTATATAATTTTATATATTATTAGTAATTTTTTCTTATTCTGATCATACTTTTATATGACTTCATCGAACTGTCCACCCCTATCCACCCAAGCTGATGTTTCTATATATATATATATATATATATATATGGGGCAGGATCATCTTACACCGGTGTAAGAATAATAAATCTTACACCAAATCTTAATCATTGATTTTCTACATCTAACGGTTAAGATTTATTAGGTCTCACTCATTAATTAATTTTTAATTCTCAATAAATCTCAACCATGGGATGCACGGAAATCAACGGTTAAGATTTGATGTAAGATTTATTATTCTTACACCGGTGTAAGTTGATCCTATCCCTATATATATATATATATATATATATATATATATATATATATATATATAGAGAGAGAGAGAGAGAGAGAGAGAGAGACCATTCAAGTGAGAGCTTGAAGATCTAATCTTGACCATTCAATCTTATATGGATGGTTAAGACTAGATTTTGTCACCTTAATTAGGCTATATGTATATAGTTTTCAGTTTTATTCTGATGATGGATTTGCTGAATTTACGTTGCTTGCAAGCAGAAAGGTCTTGCTCCTTTTTTTGGCTGCATTGTGGGTCGGGTTGCAAACAGAATTAAGGATGGCAAGTTTACGCTTGATGGGGTTCAGTACTCTCTTCCTATCAACAAACCCCCAAACAGTCTCCATGGTATCAAATCTATGTTGGCATTGTCTTCATTCATGCTTTGCTTTATCCAGGATGTTGAAATTGTAAATTGTGGATTGTGGAGTGAAACAAATCCTTTTAGATCTTCCAGTCCATTTATCCTGACATAAAAATAGGTTTTGCCATCTAAAGTGCTGGATCATTGAGTGTTTATATTCAAATATATGCATTTGATTAGGGTCATATTGAAATGGTTATGAACTATGACTTTTTTAACATATCCATCTGACCATTTCTTCCATTCCATCAAAAGTTGACTTTGAAAATGGACTTGACATGGACTTCGCCAATACAATGTTATCTGTTACTCTCAAGAATGACTGACAATCTAAAACTTATGCATAGATCTTCTTGTACTCTTTTCATTAATAACATGATTCTGAAATGGAATTTGAAATAGCATTGAATCTCTAGTGTTTTCTAAAGAAAACAAATCACATTCATGTAATAATATATGATTTTTGTTTGCTGTTATCCTGATCCCTTCCCTCTCCAAATTTTAGGTGGAAACGTTGGGTTTGATAAGAAGGTATGGGAAGTAGTTGAATATAAAAAAGGTGAAACCCCATCAATCACTTTTAAGTATGAAAGTCATGATGGAGAGGAAGGTAGTGTTGATTCTCTCTTTCTTCCTCACTTTTAAATATTGCAGTCATCATGCTCTTCCTTTCCCTTTATCTGATTTTTGTTTTCTATTATTATAAGGTTATCCTGGGGATATCACTGTTACTGCAACTTACACGCTCACCTCAACCACAACTCTTAGGCTTGACATGGAAGGAGTGCCAAAGAACAAGCCCACCATAATCAACTTAGCTCAGCATACCTACTGGAACTTAGCTGGCCACAACTCAGGGAATATACTTGATCATTCAATTCAGATATGGGCTGATCATGTCACTCCTGTGGATCAGAATACTGTGCCAACTGGTGAAATCATGTCAGTGAGAGGTACCCCTTTTGATTTTACATCTGAGAAGAGAATAGGCAACACCATTAATGAGGTTGGAATGGGGTATGACCACAATTATGTGCTTGATTGTGGGGAAGAGAAAGAAGCTTTGAGACATGCTGCAAAAGTGAGAGACCCATCAAGTTCAAGGGTACTGAACCTGTGGACAAACGCCCCTGGTGTGCAATTTTACACAGCAAACTATGTTAATGGTGTTACTGGAAAAGAAGGTGCTATATATGGAAAGCATGCTGGGTTATGTCTGGAGACACAGGGTTTCCCAAATGCCATAAACCAGCCAAATTTCCCATCTGTTGTGGTTCGACCTGGTGAGAAGTATCAACATTCCATGTTGTTTGAGTTTTCAGTTGAGTGAAGTAATATTGTTGGGAGTGGTATTGAGATGAAGTAGCCTTCTTGTTTTGCATATTATGAGTTATAACCTGAACTTTGGTTTCTCCTAAAATAATTACTTGTGTTTAAATAATTTTATGAGTTGTTTTGTCTCAAAAGTTTCAAGAGCACATTAAGTGCTGTTTTATCACTCCAAAATGTAGACGTTAAATCACATAACAAATGCCGCTTTCTAAGAAACAGTTGGACATCGATCGTTTTAATTTTTAACTACAGATTTGACTCTTGTCACATTATTGTTTAGAGTGAAACGCCTCAGAAGTTCTATTGTTAAACAGCCTTCATGGCACGGTCCTTGCTTGCTAACTCAAAATATCCGACAATTATGAACCAGTAACCCAAGCAAAATTAAACGGATCACAGAAACCAAAAGAGACTAATTAGTCTTGTAATATAATATCTGAAATGTTGCATGAGTAAAGAGGCTTAAAATGTTTCCAATGTTGCCTTAGATCATCTTGAAATGTTGCATGAATAAATATTGAGCTACATTTCGTGAAACTTAAAAAGCCAAATAGCCAATCCACTCAAACCTATCTGAAATGTTGCATGTCTAAAGCCATAATTATCCCACATATTCAAGTCAAGTCGTATTTTGAGAAACCATGCATCATCTTACTTTGTCCGAACCAACTCAAGCGGTAATGTTTCCATTGCCAACTGAAAGTTCAGAAAAAAGAAAATAGTTAGACAGGAATAAGTCTCTGCCTGCTAAAAACAAAATGATCCTTCAAAATGAAGATTAATAAATGATGTTAAATCTAACTGCCATCTAGGGAAAATGGACCTGCACCTACCCAGAGTCTCGGAGTTTTGGGGTCAGACTTCTTATGCAATTTAGATAGCTCTGACTGAAAGCATATAACAATGGCAACTTTGAACTCAATTGAGAAGGGACTGCATGAAAAGTAATAATATAATAAACAACAAACTGAGTCCTTAAAATTCTGTATGCAGTATCCACGAGTTTTAACAAGCACAGAGTAATTCATGAGAAGATATTTATAAATGACGGATGCTAAATTCAAAAAAGGTGCAAATTCAAAAAGGTCACACATTGTAGAATCATTGGATTACATGTGGATCTATGTAGAAAATTGCTAATATAGCCCTGCCCATATTTTTATGCATGTGTAGTATGTGTTTAAAAGGCGAGTCTTGAAACTGTGGTAAGGTTGCTCTTTGTGACCGAAAGGTCAACAGTTAAGAGTATGAGAAACAATCTCTTTGTAAAAATGCAAGGGTAAGACTGTGTATAATCAACCCTCAATCCTACTTTCGTAAGTCGGAGAGTCCTGTGCATCGGGGGAGGGGATTTTGGGTAATGTGCGTTTAGTTTTGGATGTACCGTCACCCTTACAAAATACAATGGAGGAGAATTATCATGAACAGGACACATACCCAGCAAAGATTGTTGGACAGGTCAATAGACGGGGAAGTATAACATAGATAGGCAGAGTCAAATTTCGGCATACATCTCCATCTGCTATCTGCTAAATAAAAAGAGAATTAACAGCTTATATTAAATTGACATGCTCTTTGTACAAATCCAGCATCACTTACCTGGGTTGTTTGAATCAGAGAGGTTTCAGTCACAATTTTCTCCCCAAGAAGAATGGACTCAACGCGAAACAACTGAAGGTCAATTGACTGAATTGGAACCGCAGATGCTTCTACTGTCAGCTCACCATTAATTGGACTAGACAAAGAACACTGAGTGCAGATTTTTCCTGTCATCCGAAATCCACCTACTCAAGCATATCTTTTCATGAGCCACGGGAACATTTTTCATACAATAATCTCAAGTGTAATACTGATGAAATTTTTCCTTGATGTCTCAACAGTTAGCATATAAAACAACAAATTTAATATTACCACAGAAGATGATGAGTTACAATTTGTGAGATTTTAAGGGCATGAAAAAATTGCACAAATTTTCTTTTCTTTACTTCTTTGTTTTCTAATGAGACTGAGTGAACATATGTACTCTTCAAAGGTAAATCAACACACCAGATTTTAATTCAGGAAGTAGAGGATGTCTTTGAGTGTCCTGGGTAATGTAAAAGATTACCATCTCTGGAGAAATTGGTCTTTGTAGAAGATCACCTGAAATTTTACAAACAAAAAAAGAGGGACACTAGTAGTTTCGTATAATCATTCACAAATGTATAAAAGTAAAGAATTGGACAGAACTAGATTATACCTTTATCACTTTCAACAATGAACTCCATAGTTGCTGATAATGATTTATGCAAGTAACCACGAGATATATCTACACACACCAAATACTATAGAGGCTATCAATCACCAACCGTCTAAATTATGTGAAAATTCAGAGAGAAAAAAAATGGAGAAAAATAGGTTTACAAAATGATTTAATTTTGATCCTTTGACAACGTAAAATGTTTATGCCAGGCCTCACCGAACCTTGGTTACTATAATAATGTGACACTTTTGTGTTCAGTGAGAGTGCAACTAAAAAGTTTTAATTCAAAGTAGATCAAATGTAAACTCTCTACTAAATGCCAAAAAAAGAGATAAAAAAACAATAGAAAGAATAATAATAATTTCATAATAAAGATCAGCTGCATAAGAGCATTTTACCTGGATACTAATATTTGCTCCATGGAAAGTTTCATAAAATCTTTCTAAATTCTCATCTGGCTGTCTAAGATTCAATGAAAATGGTATCTGCCATAAAGATTGCAAAACTTACAATAAATATGAACACAAGAAAATAGGTCATATCTACATGTTAAGCCAAATATTAAACAGAGAAGTTGACCAAATATAGTACCTAAGCTTTGGCGACAAGAACAGTAAATTATTAAAGTTCAGAAAAGATTTAAGAAAGGAACTAAGATATAGCTTACATAAACAAATTTTGATATGCTATTTCAAACTCTAAGACAGATATCCCAAATAGTTTAGTGGCATGGTATAATATTTTTAGCAAAAACTATGATATCAAATCCAGAGCATTACAGACCACTTAATAGCATACGCACACATAATTCCAAAAGGCATCAAAATTGATACATACTTTGTAATTTGTATGCTAAATTACATACTTGTAATTCTTTATGCTTAAACCTCCTAAATTTCATTGCATTTACCGAGAAAAATTTAGAAGAGAAAACACACATTTAATGGATAAAATCATGTAATGTAACACAGAAAGCTACTTAATGTAATATATGAAACAACTATTAAAGCATCAATTAAAAGCTTATGTCTTACAGTTGGATGCCTGTCTAGATATCAGATATTGCAGTAAGAATCATATAGTAGTTAAGCCTATCCGCTTATTAGCTTGAATTTATTATTTAGACGCTTTAAAGATACAAAATTAAACCAAACACCCTTGGCACAGATGGTAAGGAGTCTGGGTCCTTTAACCAGAGGTCTCAAGTTTGAGCCCTGGGAATGAAAAAAAAGATTTGGGAAAGCTGCCTCCTTTAATAGGGTCTGACAAGTGCTAGAACCGGATGTAATCCGAAGAATGAATCAGTTGGGAAACATAAAAGAAAAAAATCTAAAAAAAGAAAAGAAAAGAAAAGATACAAAATTAACAAAACACCACAAGAATAAAACTTCCATTTGAGTTGCTTAATATTTTATCCAGTAGACAGCAGATAAAAGAATTGGTGCTTTAATATTTTAGGCATGCATTAAAATGATTTAGTTTCAAGAAATACCAGAAAAGAATTCTATACAAGTAATTACACCATATTAAATTGCTTTAAAAAGACACTATTCCCATTCATTCACTATTGATATACTACCTCTGTTGTACCCGAACCAATCTTTCCAGAAGATTTAACCTCAACGGTCCTATTCCTGCTTACAAGCCAATCACAAGAATCATGTGCAGTAATCCTAATGCAGAGTCATCTACAAAACATGTAATTATAAGGATAACTACTATAATTCACTCATCCAAAAAGACTATATATTGGGTCAATTGAATATGGTTGAAAACATTGTTAAATATTTAGACACATCTTGGCCAAAATTTGAAATAAAGAAAATCAGTAATAAAGTGAACAGTGTAACACTAGCAGAAGAAATAGGATCAACAACATTGCAATATCGAATTAGCATGGCCCTTTTTGGGCAACATAGCATGATCTTTGGATGACTAAGAATCTAAGATATTCTACTAATCAGTTAACACAAGAAAAAAGAAGAAAGAAATTGGATGATTAGTAATTTCCCCATGAATGTACAGCAATTATGTTGAAAAGCAATTTGTTCACTTCCATGTCACTTGGGGGCATACTATACAATAATGCAGGATCAGAAAGTAGACAAAAATAGGTAAACTTACACAATTGGGATTGGCTTAACAACACCATAAAATGACTCAACAACCCCAGCTGATCCTCCACGAACCTTCATAGACAACACAACATGGCAGCAAAATCAGCAAAAAGAAATTTCAAAATTCCAAACACAGAACAACTGACATGACTAAAATCCAATCAGAACCCCCCCCCCCCCTTTGGCTCAATTTGGTGGAAAGGAATAACTTTTAGCATAAAGTTTACATCTTTTCATCATTTTCTGAGGAAGGAAACAAAAGGGTCATTGAGGGTGGCACCTGCAAGTTGACGGATCCTTTGAGAGTAAGGCGAATTCCATAATGGGAAATTGAAGACTGTGTTTTGACGATGATTTTGCCTTCCAGAACTTCCTGATTATTCAAATCGCCAAGAATGTTTTGAGGGGTCTCATTGCACACAAACACACACACACTCACATACGAGAGAGAGAGAGAGAAGTGAGGGTTTTACTTACTGAAGGGCGATAGATACGATTGGAACGAGAGAGTTTGAGTTCAACGGACATAGCAACCAACGATAACTAACAGAGACACAGTCACTAATTGAGTTTGCAGTGTTTTATGTTTGTTTTGTTAGATTCCACACCATTCATTCATTCATCGTTTCATTAACCACTTTCTCTTTGCAGTAAATACCATTTTCGCTGGTCGTCACGATACCCCTTTAGTTTCTATCAAATAAAAAAATTATTCGTGGTGTTTAAAAAATTCAAAATTAATCCATTTTAATCTTTGTAAAGATTGATGTGAATCTTTTTTGAATTTGTGAGGAATTACGATTTCAATTAAATGAATCCATTTTGAATTTCGTAGGGAACATAAATAACTTTTTTATTTGCTAAAACTAAAGAGGACATCATAAAATTTATTGAGTATTATTTTAGAGATTTATCCAACTCATACAACATGATAGAAGACTCTTCTCACGTTAATCTCACATTGTTTTTCGTGCCAAATTTATTTATTTATTTTTTCTAATAAGTCCAAATGAATATATGTGTTATAAAAAGACTCTTCTTATGTTAAACAAGGAGTATAAACCCCTTTATTTTATTTTTAAAAATGCTGGTCTTGTTCTTAGGTGAGTTCTAAGTATTATTTTACTAGTTTTATAAGTGATAATTAAATATAGGGATAAAATATTATATTTATTTTTTTTATATCTAGTTTATATACTTCTTTTTAATATCGTTAAATAAAAATTTCAACAGTAAATAAAATAAGTAAATATTAGTTGAGATTCTGATCTAACAGTATTAAAGAAAAGTAAATAGAATAAGTATGAAAAAAAGATAGACATAATATTTTATCCTAATATAAAATTAAATTTTAAATATTATATATTTTCTTAATTATTGGCTCAGTCAAAATTATAAATTTTTCTTTCAATAAATATATATTTTATTTTTCTATCCATAAATTTTTCTTAATTCTTATAAGGGTTTTATAAAAGTTATGTTGTAGGAAAAGTGATTGTGTAATGTTATAGAGATTCGTTTTGCGTGCCGTAGTTTTTTTTTTTTTGCTTCAAAAAGTGTGGGTTCCACAAAATATTGTATGTGTAGAAAACTTTCTTGTGTCATATGAAATGATAAATGCAAATCGCTTCTTATAATATTTAAACAACACCGTTCCTTTGTTTTATATTGAATGAATTTAAAATTGATGCTTCTTTTGTTTTGGATCTAAAATCGAGGACCTTAATAAAGTTATGAGGATTAAAATCCTCTAGAGTTCTTGAAAATTATAGAGTAAGCAGTTCTTAAAATCTAAACCATTCATATTTTTTTTATTTTTTTTTTGATATCTCAACCATTCATTTTTTATTAATTAGCATCAATAACAGGATAATGAAATCAATTTTGAGCATAGATGCCAAAATAATTAGTGAACATCACATTCAAATAGAAGAGGATGCATAGAAAATTTCGTTCATCCTGTGCTAGAACACACAAATATGTAGTCTTAGGCATGAACAACAACAGAATAATTATCCAAACCATCATTTGGAAAACTGCTCACACTGAACTCTAAACATAGTCACAAGAAGACATATCATGAGAATGAAACATCATTTTTTCTTGGCAATGAACAAGCCCCATATCTGCTCACCAGCTGCACCTCTCATCTGCTTGGCCTTCCACCTTTCAATAATTTCATTGTAGTCTTCCTGAAAGTAATGATTCCACTAATCAATGCTTTAAGATTAAAAGAAACAAGTACCTCAAAATAAGTAGCACATAGTCATTGTTAGAGAAATATAAAATTATATAAAGAATCAATTCAACCCAGTCATTTAAAACTGTTCAATGAATGCTATATTAATGGTTTTATATTTATTAGACAGAAGCCCACCTCTGAAAAGTCATCAATGAAATCGCCCTTATTGTTCTCAAGGGAATTCAGCTCCTTTTGTAGAGTTTTTATGAACTGAAACACACACACAAGTAATAATTTTGTTAGAACTCTAGAAGGACAGTAAAATGTAAATGCCAAGCAAAGTAAATCACAGGCTGTTACAAACCAAATTAGTCCTATCCTCAGCAATGACATCATCAAATCCAGCATTGTTCAGCATCTGTGGATGATTTAGAATAATAGGAGCATGTCATGTAAACAAAAATGGTAACATGAATAATAGAAGCCAGATGATGACACTAATAGTACATGCTAACATACCTGACAATAAGCTTTCATGTCATGGATATAATATCGTCCTTTTTTTATGTACTCAGCATATTCTAATGATTCACTTGTAGCACTTTTGCAGTAATCAGTAATTAAAAGTGTTCCTCCAATCTTCAACCACTTGTAAAATGATCTGAACAGTGCTGGTTTATCCTGTATAAATACACAGAAGATTGAAGAAAAAAAAATCTTAAAACAAAAGGAAAGAATCTTTCAAGCATATGGATAAAAAAATTTAAATATGAAATGAACTACAGACAGGAAAAGGTGTGGCATTAGACGAAAAATTGATCAACAGTTATCAATTCAAAAGCTATAAAGCTTGCTAAAATCTACACAGTAATTGAAAAACCAAAGATGGTTGCTTACTTTGATGTGTAACAAGGTGTCACGAGTGTAGATTACATCAAATGATTTCTCAGGATATGTTTTTTTAGTGCAATCTGCACATTCAAATTCTACAGTGCATTTGAGTCCAATAGCACGTTCAATAGCAAGAGAAATCATATTTATGGAGAGGTCAATGCCAACAACCTCAACATCAAAATTTTCAGCCATGTAAAAATCACCTCCCCCAATACCACAACCAACATCCAGTACTTTCTGACCAGGCTTTAGTCCCAACTTTGCCACAAATTCCCTTGTTGTTTCTGTTCAAGCAATTAGAACGTGTACGTTAGTAACATCTGAAATCTACTATGATTTATTCCAAAGACAAACAAATGGCACCTTCAAGATTCTAATTAGTACAACAGACATGAAATTGTTTAGAAAAAAAAAAGTGTCCCATAGTATGATATAGTATATCAACCAGTCTAAGAACGAGAAATAATCAATATGGGAACAATGATTTCATGGATTTAAGTCTTAGTAAATCTGTTATTTATGGATTTCAGCTTCCCTCAACCCTTACAATGATTTCATGTTACCTTTAGAAAGCACACATCAAACCTTTCATCCACTTCATGGCTCAGGTATATGATAAGGAGATATCATTGAGGAAGATAATTCTTTCATCTCAATTTAGAGGCTTTTTAACCCTTCTGATGTAAAAATACAAACATATCACCGGTTTAATTCTTTTGGCAAACTATTTACCAATCTAATGCCAGTGAAACGCGCGTGGAGAGTATGTGCGTTTAAGTTGCGCATCACCTATATGCACGACTTGTGCAAAAATCAGCACAATGCAAAACACACATCCTAATAGTATGCGTTCAAGTCACACACGCACCCCATGCGTGTCTTACAGAGCGCGAAATGTGGCAGACACATTTTGATTTTTACGCAAGTTGCGCATGAGGTGATGTGCGACTTAAACGCGCACACTTCCCATTCGTGTTCCACTCACATGAAATTGGTAAATAATTTGCCAAAAGAATTATACCTATAATATGTCTTAGATTTTGTATCGGAAGGGTCAAAAAGCCCAATTGAAATGAAAGGAAAATACTCCATTGGATAACAAGGAATAAGAGAGAAAAGAAAATGGTAAGACATACCAAGTCCTCCTGTGCTCACAAAGCCTTGGCCAAAAACACGCTCATATAGTAAAATATCCTTATGATTATACTCAACACTATCTAAGAACCGCTGGAACCCCCAGTCATTTTGAGATCTAACTTTCTGCCATGTCCAGCAAATCTGCATGACAGAGTTACTATTTTAATCATATATTGTCATTCAATTGAATAAGCTGAAATAAGAGATTATAATTAAAAGAAATATATAGAAGCCCCTTTGTTTAATTACCTGGTTTTGATTCTTCTTATTTCTGACATAAGCTCCAATGCATTTACAGCCAACAAGAGAAAGTTCGAAGGAATTCCCAGTAACATCACTCATATGGCACTCTTTAAATACCTTCATGGAAATGGGAAGGATAATCAAAACCAAAGCTCTTTGTTTTCAATGGAATTTCTGATATAAGCATCAAACTTAGACTTAAATCACTGTCAATTGAGCTACAACCTCCTTGGCCAAAATCAAGTTTTAAATAAGGTGTTATTTTCCTTATAAAATGTACAATAAGAAGCTCATCAATGTCATGTATAAGTATCATTAGTCAAGCTATTGTTTGACATGTACTAAGAGGGAATAATGTATACACACTCAAGAACAAACCTTAGTGTAAATTCTGGGTTCCCTGTAGTGAGTTGGATTATATTTTCTCTTCGAATCTCCAGATTGGTGGAAACAAGATTCTCTGAAGAATATGTATCCACCAACTTTTAGCCATTTGATCATTCTTTCAGCTAAATCCTCAACCTGAAATGAATCAAGGGAAAAATAAAAGCCTTTAACATATTGTTACCTTTAACATATCTAAACTGAAAACAAAACCATGAGAATTCCATGCTGTATAGTTATTTCTATAGTTTAACCAAAAATAAATAAATAAATAAAAATTTACCTCTTTGTCAGAAAGATACATAAGTAACCAATTTGAGAATATCAGATCAACTGATCCTTCAGAAATATGCAAGTTTGGAGATGTGACATCAGCACATATGAACTTAACATTCTTATGGTGTCCATTAGTGCTTTCATTCTGCAGTAAGATTATGTGACATGTTAGATTCAGGTAACTACTACTTCACAACAGGTAGAACCAAGATTTGTTAATTTGACAAACATAACCATTAATGATATAAAGAACCATTTCAATCAAAAAGTTTAAACTATTAGATAAAAACCATATTAATGGTTTTATATTATGTATTTCTAATACGAGCTTATTGGATTTGAAGGACGGACAATCCATAGGCCATGACCACTTTGGTCACGAAAACTCTTATACCATATCAAGAATCATTTTAACCCCAAAACTTAAGCTATTATATTGTTGAATGTTATATTAATAATTTTATATTATATCTCTACATGTAAGAGATTATTGTAGTTACCTTCTTTATTGCACTCTCAATGAAGTCCAAAGCAAGCAATTGGCCAGCTTTCTGAGCCAATTCACCAGTGAATCTACCAATACCTGCTCCAAGCTCTAAAACTGATTTTCCTTCATATGCTGGTAGTAGAGAGAGTACCTATGTAGTTAAAAATAGAAGAGTCACAAAAGCACTGATTCTGACTAAAAAGAATGAAAACAAGGAATGCTGAAAAAGGTACACACAGGAAAATTTTTAGACTCTAGTATCAGAAAGACAAATAATATAGTGGTTTAAATTCACAATCATAAGAGAAAATATACATTCACGTATAAAGTAAATACAGAAATGCGACATGCAACTTTTCTGACCTTCCTAGTTTCTTTTATTGTTCAGATTAAGGAGATAATAATAAGATATAATTTAGATTTACATTAGGATAAGGATAAATTTCTTTTTGATTTCTACCTATTTTATAGGCTAGTAGTTATTATATTTTAATATAGGGAAAAATATTTGTCCTTTTAAACGACAAAACTTGTGTCATTTCACTCTCACAAAAAGGTGGGACTCACACTTTTTTTTTTGTCCACTCTCTCTCCCTCTTTATCTATATCTTTTTCTTATTTAAAATGACACAATTTTAAATCCTTTAAAATGTTATACACTTTTCTCTTCGATATATTACAAATACTAGATGAATAATAAATGTGTGACAATTTGACTTTGTTGCCTTTCATAATGTCAGCTGAACTAAGAATAAAATAATTTGAAAGCCAATCCGTCTTCTGAAACGATTGATGTACTTTAAAGAAAAATAAAAATTAAATAAAATTATAACTGTTAATGAAAAATGTAATGAAATAAATTTATTATTTTTATTTTTATTTATGTATTTTATTATAATTTTAACTCTTAATTTTCAACCAATAACTATAGTTATAAGATTACTATAAAATCTCATAGGGAGTCTAACTCTTCCCTGAAAGCGGAAATTTCGTAACACCATACTTATTTTATAATGATAACTATATAATTTTTCTTATAAACCCACAATCTTTCGGTAATAAGAAACCATCCAAAATAATAATAATAAAAATTAATAACAACAAAGTATCCAACTTTTTTATTTTTTTTGGAGAATCTTTCTCCGAAAATTCCATATGTTTCTTTTGGACTAATCTGGAGTTCAGATGAGTCTAGGGTTAAAGATTTAGGTAGTGTTTGATTGAAGGTTTATTTTGGAATTGATGGAAAAGTGTAAGTGGATATTGGAAAATATCACGTTTGGTTCAGATTTTTTCAAAAAATACCAGGCAAATAGGATAGATGGAAAAATGACTTTTGTGTTGATTTTTAGATGAAATTCACTGTTACAGAATACCACTTGAGATGTGGTATTTTGAGATAACTGGGGAAGTGAAAAAACAGGTGCAAAGTTTCTCTCGAACATAGATTTTGCATATTTAAATAAATTTCGCTGATAATATTTGGGTCAACCAAACAACTTTTTTTACATTTTCCTACCAAACTCATTTTCTAACCATTTCCCTATCAATTACATTTCCCTAGTAAAAAAAATATTTTCCCAAACCAAACACTACCTTAAACCCTTCCCAAAAATAATACTGATCGAACACATATTTTCATCCAACTTAAGAATCGAACTTTTGAAAACAAATAATAATAATAATAATAAAAAGAGGGTATAAAAGGAAACGCACTTCGGGTCTCTCTTCCTTGTCGAGATCAGAGGCGTTGGAATCGAGCATCATGGACTCAACAGATAACTCCGAGGAATGTTCAATCCAATAGTTTCTCTGAACACAACGCTCATCTACACATTATATTCACAACAAACAACAACATTACAATGTAATAATTAATATCTCACGTTAATTAATATTCATTAAATAACACAAACTAGACACAACCAACAAGTGTTGTTGTAGTGTAACTCATGTAGATGATGATCATAAGCATATATACAAAATAATGTAGTATAATTAACAAGATGATCGATCACCTTGTGCATTCACCACCGAAGCCATGGCAGAATGAAGAAAAAACGATAGAGAGAAAGAGGAAAATGAAAGAATGTAGCCTCAAAGACAAGTCATTTAATTATGAGCTCTAGCTAGCTTCCTCTACCCTCCATTATTACCCTTCTCACTTAGCTTTTCCAACTTCATCTTAGCTTTTCCAACTTCTTCTCCATTTATAGAAACCTCTTTCTTGTTAACTTTCACGTGAACAGTTTTTTTCTTTTTCTTTTTCTCTCTTTACATAATGACCATGCCTCCCACTTTTTTATGTTGTAACTCTAGCTTCACATATTCTCATGCTGACTTCATAATCCCATTGTAGACCTTTTTTTTTTCATATAGTAAGATTATACACATTTTTTTGTTGTTGCAAATTCAATGGTGCTGTATAATGTTCATGATATCCTCTTTGGGAATAAATATAACTATGATAATTATTTAACTATATAAACTAATATAAAATCAAATTGACAATTAATTGTTTCTTTTAATTAATTAAGCATGGGAATATGGAGAGATGGCTCAACTTATTTATTTTTAAGCTTACTTTAACTTAGTTTATTAAATAAGAAAGTTAGATTTAGATTTTAAAATGCTCATTTAATTAGGTTAAAGTTTCAAGTCTTTAAATTTGTCTATTGAAGTTATGATGTCTTATTATTTATCTATCTATTTATTATTTAAAAATATATAAAACTTTATATCATTTACATATAATATTTTATACATAATATGTAATAAAGTATTTATACCTAAATGAAAACTACAAAGGCTAAATTTCATATAAAAATACTCATTTTTCTAACTATGTGTTTTTGCCTTCCAACTTCAGTACATACCTAAAAGCATTGAAGTTGAAGAAAAAAAAACATCATTTCTTAGACAATTGAAGTTTTCACAACAGTTGCGAAAGAATTGGTACGTTGAATGAATTTGTTAAGATGCCACAACACCAAATGAAAGCGCTGCCACGTGACTATAGAAATACTATAACTTTTATATTACATTATAGATATAGATAAATGAAAAAAAATATTTCTCAAGCAGCTTGAGATATATTTATCTTCGTCTACCAAAAACTACGTTATTTTGTTTATTTATTTTCTTATATTAATTGATTCACCTTTGAATAGTTATAATTCTCTTTTTATCTTTTTTCCTTTATCACCATTAATCCATCTTTATACGATTATGATTTAGTAGTCGAAGATAAAATTATCTCAAGTAACTTAAAAAACTATAAGGCCTAGATATATTACAGATTCACACATATAGATTTTTTCTTAATTTTATTCTTTGCAATTTTAAATTTAGAATATCAATTTTACAATTTTATAATTTTTTTTATATAATGGCATGCTGATGTTTAAATTTTTTATTTCCTGCAAACTTTAAATCCTTTATTACAAAGTGTTTAATTTTGTTACAAAAACATTTAGTAAAAAAATTTACGCAATCATCTAATATATATTGTGTAGATATTTTATTTAATGAATTTATGTCAATTTTATTAAATGATATAGCAACATATCATTGGATATAACTGTAAGACTTTTTACAGAGATAATATATCAAATTTAAATTATATTCCGATCAAATATATTGGACCGGATGGTCTGATGTGGTTCAATGATAGTCTCATCGCTTCTGGTTTAAGATTCTATTATAAACTCTTAATAAATTAACAGTTTAGTCTTGTTTAAGAATTTTAATAAACTTTAAAATCAAGAAATAGTTAATATATTCAAGATAATTATGTATTTATAAAATACCGTCTCAATTATCTAAACTAATTTTTATGAAAAAATTGAATGAATTAAATTATTTTAGTATCACCCCTTAAGATGCCAGTTATAAAATTTAAACACTAATAACCATCTATGTAGCACTGATACCGACGCGAGACACGATACGACACATTAGAACACGTTTTGATATTGAATAATATTTTTAATATATGTTGGGTATATTATATTTAATATTCAATAATTTTATAAAAAAATAAAGCTAAACTTATAATACCCATTAATTTTGCAAAGATACATAAGATATCATAAATATTTATATTAAATTCAATAAAATGATAATAAAAATCCAACGAATCTAATTGATAGAACTAAAAATGCAACGCAACCTTTGAATTTTTTCAACGCACGTTGAAATGTCGGGGAGTGTCAGAGTGTCGGGAAGTGTCGGACACGACACGTCAGGGTTTTTGAAGTGTCGGTGCTTCATGGATAACTATAATATTGTAACTTTTATTCACTACTATTTTTGTTTATATTTCTTGTTCGTGAATAGATTGTGAGTTAATATTATTTAAACAAAATTAAGAAAGCAGAAAGTGTTTTTTTTTTTTTTTTTTTTGAAACTGATCCTAATTACCTCTTTGAGGCGAATCAGAACCATCTGGTATTCCTACGGGTTCGACTCTTTGAGCCGCCTATGGGACTAATTCAGAGTTCGGATGCGAGTTCAAGAATTACGGTACTTATATCCCTCTATGTGGATATTAACAATTATATTTATATTAAAATATTCTTTACAATAAAAAAAAATGTCAATATCAGAATCCAAAGGGGTATCTCAATAATGTGGTTGAGACTTGAGGAGGACAATGCACGATTAGGAGCATCACATGCATTGCTCTGTGGGGTACAAATAATTCAGAGGTTCCACCAAATAATGAATGCATGCATGCTTGGAGAAAGAAGGTACAGCAGTATGCAGACAGAACAAACCAATAACAGAAGGCCTGTGTCTTAACTTCCAAAAAAATGAAAGCCTGTGTCTTATGGGATCATATTTCAATGAGAATTTTACAAGTAAATGTTATTGTGGTGTTTGCTGTTTATCAATATAACTCTTCCATATATATATATAAAGAGAGAGACAGAGAGGTATATATTGAGATAAGATCTTTGACACCAAATCTTAATAGCTAATTTCGTGAATCTAATAATTATAATTTATTGGATCACACTTATTAATTAATTATTAATTTTCAATAAATTATAACTGTTAAATTAATGGATATTAACAATTAAAACTTAATGTCAAACTTTTTAGTTTGCCACCTGCGTAAAAAAATCATGTCCCATATATATGGACATCAAGAATTAGTTACTATTTATACTTGTGCTTCCCTTAATTCCTTATACTGAGCAAGTTGCCTTGACAAAAGTCTCGAATCTTTGGCTAGAAGAGTGAATAAGCTCTTGGAAAACCATATTTTTAGACATTCAGCAAAAGTTATAAGCTTCTAATCACAAACTCTTATATTTTGGGAGAATGAGAACATTGACTGAGTTCAACACATATTTTGGGGAACTGATTTTAGGGTTGTGTTCTGATTTATTGGGGGACAACGAGAGGAAATTGAGATGGGTTAAAATGAGAGTTTATGATTTCCTAACTCTCCAACTCCAAAGACACATTCGTCATATAAGGAGCGGAAGAAAGTTATCTTCCCACTCGTGCATGAAACTTTCCATGCCTCTCTAATATCTTTATCTGATGTCAATTAATGTGTGAACTAATTTTATGGAATGCTCTTTCCAAACCTCAGACATAATTTCTACCATTCAGAGACTAATGTAGCATCAGATACCACAACTTTTGACAAATTAATTTGTTTTTCTCCCAACCCGGTTGATCGGCAAATCAACTAGTCCCAAGAACATGTACCAAAAAAAAAACTAGTCCCAAGAACAAGTGAAAAGACAAAATAATATTAGATATATAAATTGTATATTAAATGATAAAAATAAAGTTTTTGCATCCCTGGTCTATTTCTAAAACTTGCCTTTTGTCATGACCAATTTTATGTTACGGCATAAAAAATTAAAAGACAAAGTAAATTAAAAATATTATATGATAAGGACTTACCAAGTAATACAATGATGCCGAAACTTGCTAGGACAAAATTTGTATGCCAAATAAAAAGTAAGCAACAACAATATACAACTGGCACAAGTTCAAAGCAGAAAAAACTTCTATCATTATCCAAAACCATAACATGACAAATACGATTTCAAAAGTTAAAACTGCACAGCGTAGTTTACTCAGCATCTTTACTTTTCGATTTCTTTTTCTTCTTCTTACTCTCATTAGTAGCCTCCAGTACTTCTCCATTATCATCCCTTTTATCCTTTTTCTTTTTCTTTTTAACTGCTCCATCATGCTCACTTGTAATATTACACATGGACGCAAGTCCTCACTTAACAAAGCCATGCAACACTCAAGCTCCATTTTCAACTCACTCTCCACGTGGCCCAACGAATCATCAAAGAGAAGAAACTGATGCAGTTAGTTAGTTGGAATCTGTTATAGAATGTTAGTTTTCTGTTAGTCTCTTTTATTAGTATTTAGTTATTTCGATCATTGTATATATAGACTTAAGTCTTGTATTATTGCTCATAATTGAGAATTCAATGGAAAGTCTCAAGTTCAATATGGTATCTCTGGTATTTCGTCTCAGATTTCTTTTCTTTCCATCTTTCTTTCTTGCTTCTCTCTTTCTTGAAAATTTCTTCCTTCTCATGGCGAATCAAGCCATAGATTCATCAAGTCCTTTCTCTATGCATTCAAATGAAAGTCCTTCATTGGTGCTAGTTTCTCCTCCGTTAACAGGAGCCAACTACCATACTTGGGCGCGAGGTATGAAGGTAGCTTTAATCTCCAAGAACAAGCTTGGGTTCATTGATGGAACCATTGAAGTTCCAAACGCAGAAGATCCAAATTTTTCAGTGTGGCAGCGCTGTAACAATATGGTTATGGCGTGGATACACCGTTCCATCTCGGAATAAATTGCAAGATCTATAATCTGGATTGAACGTGCTCGTGAAGCATGGTTAGATCTGCAAGAACGCTTCTCTCAATCTAATTTGTTTCGAACATCAGATCTTCAAGAAGAAATGTACAAACTGCAACAAGGATCCAAAAGTGTCACTGAATTTTTCACCGAGTTGAAAACCATGTGGGATGAGCTTGAGAATCTCAAGCCATTGCCAACTTGTAGTTGTCCAATTCCATGTGTATGTGGAGCAATCACCAAGATGCGAGATTACCGTGAACGTGATCATGCCATCAGATTCTTGAAGGGATTGAATGAGCAATATGCTCCAGTCCGATCTCAAATCATGCTGATAGATCCTTTACCAAATGTAAACAAAGTCTTTTCCATGATTGTGCAACAAGAAAGGCAATACATGACTGAAAATCATACCAATGATTCTGTCAGTACTCAAATTTTAAATGTAACTAGGGATCGTAACTTTGCTGCTGCAAATCGAGGAGGATTCAACAATGGTGGTCGATCAGGCAGAGGAGGATATGTTAATCGTGGAAGAGGATTCAACTATGGAGGAAGAAACTCAGCTCCTAATCGCATGTGTACGCACTGTGGTAAAGGAAATCATACAGTTGATACTTGTTTCCACGTTCATGGCTTTCCACCAGGCTATAGAACAAGGAACAATATTTCGAATCAAGCGAATGCAGCAATCCATCAAGAAAATGATTCAGCTGAACCAGAGAACACAGATTCTCACTCGGGAGTCAATCTCTTTCATACTCAATATCAGCAAATTATGGAGCTTTTACAGAATTCAAATGTGAATCAGAACAATGAAGCAATACATGCGATGAACTCAGCTATAGTCTCAAATGCAGAAACAGTTTCACAACCGAGATCTTTAGGTGTGCAGTGGATAGTCGACACAAGTGCAACTGACCATATCACTCACATTAAATCTCAGTTTTCCTCATTGCAAAAGATTAATCCAATTACTATAATTTTGCCTAATGGTTCACGCATAATTGCCCATTATCCTGGTACAATAGCAATATCATCTACACTGACCCTTACTAATGTACTCTATACACCTGAGTTCCATGTGAACCTTATTTCTGTATCGAAACTTTCCAATTCCCTTTATTGCTCCATAAATTTTCTTGACAATGGTTGTTTGATTCAGCAGATAAATACCCAAGTGACGATTGGTACTGCTGAGCTCAGAAATGGCCTTTATGTGATAGTTAACAACGTGGTTGACAAAGTTCAGCAAAGCTATGCTGCTGATGAAACAAGATGCAATGTGTTGAATAAAGAAGACTCAACTTTGTGGCATCACCGATTGGGTCACATATCAGAAGAAGTCTTACGTACTATGTCTAAGCAATTTTCTTTCATACCTTGTATTCATACAAACCCTTGTGATATATGTCATCTAGCTAAGCAAAAAAGATTGCCTTACTGTACAAGTACCAATAAAAGTAGCAAAGCATTTGAGCTTTTACATGCTGACATCTGGGGTCCCTACTCTATAGCTTCAATTCATGGACATAGATACTTTCTTACGCTAGTAGATGATCTGTTTTACTTGGATTATCTTTATGAAAACCAAAACAGAAACGCGTATGCACCTGCAGCATTTTATTGCCTTCATTGAAAACCATTTCAACACCAAACTTAAGACATTACACAGTGACAATGGACAAGAATTTCTCATGCGTGATTTCTTTCTTCAAAGAGGCATTTTACACCAAACAAGTTGCGTCGAGTGCCCTCAACAAAATGGAATTGTTGAACGTAAGCACCAACACATCCTAAACACAGCCAGTGCCCTCTACTTTCAAGCCAAGCTACCTACCAATTTATGGAGTTATGCTGTTACTCACGCTGTCCATTTGATCAACAAAATTCCTTCTCCCAATCTTGCCCAGAAATCACCCTTCGAGCTGCTACATGGCACTTCTCCCACTTTAACTCATCTCAAAGTTTTTGAGTGCCTTTGTTATGCATCCACACTTCAATCGGGTAGATCCAAATTTTCACCAAGAGCCAGGAAAGTTGTATTCATTGGTTATAAAGAAGGCATAAAAGGTTACCTTCTATATGATCTCAATTCACCAAATTTTCTTTTTAACTGCTCTATCATGCTCACTTGTAACCCCATTGCCACCATCACCTACAGCCTGATCATGAAGCTCCATCTCATGGTCCAATTTCCTCTTTTCTTTCTTTTTCTTCTTTTCTGATTTATGATCCTCTAATGCATCACCATTTGTAGTTTATGTGGCCTTACCTACAGCCATGTCGTCACCTTCATCTGCAACAGCAGCTTTTTGCTTTTTCTTTTTCGCTTTCTTGCCTGAAACTTCAACAGGCACTTCTTCTGTTTCCATCTCTGTATCTGGAACAATTAATATAAATCAGTAAAATTCCACTATCACACATGTATTACATTGGGAAATACAACATATATATACTTCTAAAGTTAAAACTAATTGAGCTCTACACCGTATAGCCTCAGCAAAAAATAAAATTAAAAAAAATTCCACCATATGATGGCAATCACAAATCCTGAGATATAGGTATAATCACAACCAAATGCATATTATACAAGTTTAAGGGAACAAACAAGGAGGATTGGGGGTGGGAGGACTAGGGGATAGCTCTCCTCCTTCCATCCCTACCTTTATTTTCAACACTTTCAATAGCAGACTTCATTACATTTATGTTCTTTCGAGGGGCTACTCCCTTGTCATAAAAGTCAAGTCGCTCCTCAACTTGCTCACGGAGTTTTTCTCCAAAAGCAGTAGTACCCTGTTCTGCATTACAGTACAACAAAATCAACCCACATGCAATGAGGTGCTAAGTAAGGCATAAGATTTGATAAAAGAATAAGAAAGAAACCAGAAAAGCAGTCAATCCGTGTAGCAATGGAACATTTGTTTGCAAGATATCGAGCCATTCGGCCCTTATTTCTAGCAGATGCTCGACCAATAAAAGAAGAGTGGAATATCAGACCATATTTGGGAGTGTTTCCTCTTGTTTTTAATGCTCTGGATAGAAAAGGCAAAGACATTATAAATTAGAACTTAGAACAGCATGCAAAAATAGTAGCACCGAAACTGCAGACCAAAATTAGCTCTTTTTTGATGGGCTTGAGATAATTAGTGATGGGCCTGAGATAATTAGTTAGTTAGTTAGGGAGTTATTCTAGAATATTCTCAAATAATAGGATATAAGGATGGGGGTGTGGGAGTGAGGTATGCAAGTATTCAGAATTGGTTGGTGGGGAAATTGGGGATTGCTGTGAGTTGAGATTTCTAGGTTTATTTTCTGCATTTTATCCTTGTAAGGAGCTTGTCTCCATTTATATTTTCAGCAATTTCAGATTTATAAAAGTAGGTTCCATCAATTTGGTATCAGAGCACTTCCAATCTAGGGGGTGCTTTCTGGTCCAGATATGGAAAAAAAGAAGAAGAAGAAGAAGAAGAAGAATACAGATTTATACTGGTTCCAAAATTTTAAGGAGAGGGAGATGATGCTTGGGGATGGCAAATTGCTATGGAACAACATTTTCAAGAAAAGCAAATAAATGCAGAAACTCTGAGTGGGCTTAGAGGATGAGCGCTCTACTAGTATAGGTGTTGGAATTGTCTCAATCCTAATGCAAAATTGTGGGATTTTACTAGAGCATTTATAAATAAATATCTACCCGAGATTTATATGGCACATTCGTTCTCTAGATATCAACTCAGTCGCGCAAGTGCATGCATCAAGTAATAAGTGGGATTATTAGTGCCCAAATTATCGTTCCCACGAGGATAGAACGATAAATAATACCTTATACTATTTTGAAAAGAGTTTTAAATATGAGATAATACAGTATTTGAACTGTTTGGTCTCTCGTTCCCTACTGCCTTGTGGACGTTCCCTTAAGGTGGCAGGTTTAGTTTGACTCTTAACAACTCCTCGCGTCGTTATGTATTAATTCCTTCCTGATGTAAGAAGGAACGACAAAAATTCATTGGAGATTTGGTTATATTGTCACAAGGAACTAAATGATAACAATATTTAAGAGACAACAAAATGGATGGATAATAAAGCAGTTTTTAACACAAGGAATGGATCCATTGTTCCATTCTTAAATGGCTATACTCTCAACTTAAGACTTAACCCTTTTGAATTTGTTCAGGTCTTTTCAATGCCAACTCTGATTCCTCAGCTCATGGACTTAAATGGCTCACAAGTTTCCATATTCCTATGGTTCCCTTGACTCCAATAGTTACTAAGTTCAGAACCTTCAGAGACCGAGGTTGCTCCTTATTCCTAAGACAACCAGTAGCATTGTTTCCACAATCCTACCTTCCTCATATGATTAAGTTGTCTGAAATTCCTTCTTTAAGGAAATTCCTTTCTCAGTATGAGTTCAATTTCCATTGATACCCAAAGAATTAAGTTTACTTAAATCACAGAAATACAAAAGCTTCAGTACAAAAGTTTTGAGCATAGTTCTTTAAGAACTTCACAGTTTTTCCATTCTAAAATAACTTAGCCCATGGCTGAAAACATAAACATAATTATTTCAACCTGAAATCCCATAAACCCGAGATTCAGTATGAAGATAACGAGTGGAAGAGAGGAGAAATAACAAACATATATTAATAGGAAATAAGTTTATATTACAAGGAAATAAACTGGAGAAGTATGGATAGTGTTCGTGAGGTGTCTCAAATGGTGGATAGAAAATGGAGGAAGAGTTGTCACTTAACTATTGTTAAAACTATCCAAATGAAAAACATAAATTTAAACTACCCTAGGTGATCTCTTCTTAAAAAATTCGATGATTTCTTCGTGTTGGAACGTCCTATTTATAGGCTAGAAAAGTGGATGGCAAACTTGTGATTCTACCTTAGTTGTTCCTTGATTGCATGAAGAGGCGGTGCAACAGTGCTCTGATATGTGAAGCAAGTTGTTGGATGGGACAACTTAAGGTTGAGATTTGCCTTTTTCTTCTGAATCTCCCATGCTTGCTTTTTCTCTAATCCAATGGTTGCTCTTTATTCTCTTCTGTACACGTTTCTTCCTGTTTGATTGTTGTACTTCTTTCTACTTTTTGGAAGCTTCTTTTTAACGTTTCCTGCAAAGTGGTCAGTGAGGGGGGTTAGTGGAGCAGGTATGCAAATAAGTCAAACTGTTCCTCTTTTCTGGCATTCTCAACTGATTAAATCATTATCCGTTCCCTTCTGGTGCTTTAGTTCTCAGGATCTGGAAACGTGTTTTTAAGGCAAAAATTGGTCATCAGTTAACGGACGGATGAAATTTTATCATCAAAATGAGCTCAAATAGGAACAAATTTCCATCCCATCAGTAGACAAAGAAGAAAAAGAAGTAGAAGAGGCGGAAGAAATAAATTGACATAGTGATGAAGCATCGAACGAAGTTGAAGGTGCATAAGAAACGGGAGAAGAAAAGAAAAGAAAAGGAAGAAACGCAAGAAGACGAAGAAAGAGAAGGAGCAGATCTGAGCTCAGAAAAAGAAGCCGAAGATGCCAGATCAGAAAAAACAGAAGATGAAGAAGAAGACGAAATCAGATATGGAACAAGGAGACGAAGCACGAACAGATCTGGAACCAGCAGGGAGACTGCACACGAATAGTGGCAACGACCACGAACGGAGACATGGGCAGCGACACAAGGAGTTCAGGCCATCAGTTTTGCTGCTCATCGGAGAAGATCACTGACGAAGATATGCTGCTGGCCGAACGTGCTTGACCAAGGACCCCAAAGAAACAGAAGACGAAGAAGGAGAAGAAGGTGCAGAAGAAATAGATTAGCAACGTAAAAACGGCGTAAAGAAGGAGGTTATACTGCAGTCGCTGCCAGCAAGCCCACAAGCGACAGACGGCAATCTGATTCTCGTGAATTTGCAACAGCAGTGGCCGCTGGATGATGGAGTGATCGAATGGAAGCATAGGACCACTCATAGTACGAGAATTGAGTGGGTTGAAGGAGATGGAAAGAGAAGAAGGGAAGACTTGGAATTCTGCCATATGGGTTTCCATTTTAACGTTTTGGGCTTGGCCCAAAAGATATGGTGGTTGACAAGAAGCAAAATAGAAGGCTTTATCCAATCAATTCAAATTACTTCAACAGGTATACGGGACCAAGGCCTAAAACTTGCAGTGATAAAATGTAATATCTGGGTCCTGAAATTAATAAAGGTCCAAGAGTTGCATGGGCCCAAAGAGGTTAATGATGCTTCAATTAGGGTTTATTGCATGGCCAGAGCTGCCAGAGAAAACAAAGCATGTTTTGTGCCCAAATATGCAGAAGAAAACTTAGCATTAGAAGACAACAAAGGCACAACAATTTGCAATAGTGCAACGCGATACAAAAGCAACGTGTTAATTTCAAGATAACGGGATCAATGTTCTTCAAACAATGGGATCCGGGTGGATATTTTCTCACCTATCCTCTTTCTTCACCTTGAGGACAAGGTAAGTTTTGGAAGGGGAGTAATGATGGGCCTGAGATAATTAATGATGGGTTGAGATAATTAGTTAGTTAGTTAGGGAGATATTGTAGAATATTCTCAAATAATAGGATATAAGGGAGTGTGGGAGTGTGAGGTATGCATGTATTCAGAATTGGTTAGTGGGAAAATTGGGGATCTCTGGGAGTTGAGATTTCTGGGTTTATTTTCTGCATTTTATCCTTATAAGGAGCTTGTCTCCATTTATATTTTCAGTAATTTCAAATTTATAAAAGTAGGTTCCATCATTTTCTTGACAAAAAACACAGGGAGGATTGACAGAAAAGTTTGGGGCCGAATGATAGGGGATTTGAGGGATGGACAACTATTACCTTATTGTGGGAACACAGGTCATAAACCTTCACTTACGTTAGAACATCCTCATTTCTGTAGTTAAAAAAGGAACTTTGCAAAGTCTTGAATTATTTACTGTTTTATGTCATTAGTCAAGAAAAAATGGCCTGAAACACCAGTTGTCCTGTACATAAATGGTAATGGTGGCCTTCTCAAGCGTATAAAAGATTGGATTAAGCTAGACAAGACAATGGATATGGCTGATCGAAGACAAGGATTTGGAAGAGTGGAATAAGTGAGCAAGACTGCAGGGAAATGTGGACCCTGCCTACTTAGGTAACATTTGGCGCGCAACAGAACGAAATAGAACAAAAAGGTTATGTTCTCTTCACCTTGGTTCCACCCCTTTTGTAGAACCAAAATTTACCACATTTTTAACCTCGCGTCCTATTTTTTTAATTTTTTCTATTTTAAAATGAACCAAACATAAAATAGAACCCCATGTCATGTTGTGTCCTGTTCTAACACATTTACTAAATGTACTCTTATTCTCCTCTACTGCTACCTTGATAAAAGGAATTCATAAGCTGGTGATGTGATATTAACATCTAAGTCATCGAGTATCATTTATAGGTTTAAAACAAAAGTCCCCCTATGCCCAAATGAAGTTCTTCCATTGAAAGAACCTGACCTACCATAATGGAAAATAACAATTTCTTGCAGTTTTACATATGAAACCTTGTCAGTTGCTATATAACATATGAGAAGAACAACTTCAAAACAGGAGGTTGAATTAAAAACCTGAACAAGGCCTTCTCTGCACCAAGGATTTGAAGTGTTGAAGAGGGGCATTTAGCTAAATTTGTAAGGCTACCAGCATGGGAAATTAGACGCGCACCAACAACTTCACCAATTAAAGAGGCCAAATTTGGTGCAATGTCATTCATTTTAGCAACCAGATAATCATACAGCTTCCGCCTGTACTCAGATAGGTTCATTACCCTCTGTGCAAATTGTTGCACATTAATCAAGTCAACTGGGGACAAATCCTGTTCTGAAGAAAATCAAGAGAAAGAAGATTTAGATAGAGAATGAGACTTAAGTTAAAATGCAATACAAGTACGAGAATTCTACCCATGGAGGCCTTGGCAGCTTCCACAATCTCCTTCGCTTTATCTTCATCTCCAACTACATCAGTTAAGCCAGAGATCTTGTCTTCAGACAACTTTGATTTATCCTCAATAAATTTTACAACTTTGGCATACAGATAATTATCATTGACAATCTTCACCAGTTCCGGAAAATGCCAGGAATACCATTCTCTGCACAAAATTGACAAACCAACAAAGAAATGAACTCTTCAAGTTTAACAATTCTCTTAAAGGAAGTAAACAATTTCAAACACAAAAATTCTATATTTAAGATTTGACCATTCAATATAAAAAACAAGCTACCTGACTCTCACGGAGAACGAATTGATATCCTTATCAAGTGTATCAAGAAGGAATATTGCTTGAATGACCATATTGTCAACTCGATTAACATTGAATTTCACCTTTGCTCTGCTGTAACTATGCCCCAGACCAAGTTGTGCCTTTAACATATCCCCTGACTATGGGATTCAATTAGGGAAAAAAATTAATTTAATTAAAATAATGAGAGAAATATAAATCTATAGGGGGAGAGGATCCTCTCATTCTCATTTTAACATCACCACATCATGACAAAGCAATGATCATCAGCAATTGAAATTATTATTTTCTCTACTTCATTTTAATAGCACAAAAAATAAAAATTAAAAATTAAAAATTAATCCTTAAGACTAATCAAGATTCTATGCAAACCTAAACCGATACTAACCGTTAATTTGTCATTAAAAACTATAAATGGCGTGATCATGTTATTAAAATGAGACATGTAAGGATCTCTCCCAATTCCTATAAGCACAAAGGAATCATGGTTAAGAGAAGCACAATAAGAGAGAGTAAGTAAATGCTAACCTTGAGATCACTAAGGAACCTATCAAAATGTACGCGCACGCCACGAAGCAGTTCATGCACAAACTCATTACTTTGACAAGGAATTCTAGTGACTTCAAATATCTGTGATCCAATCTTAGGTTCTGATACACCTAAACTAAACTTGCACTTCTTACCTTCCTTCACTTTAGGCAAGTTAGTCTCCAAAACAATTCTAAGTTCATCAGTCAATAAGCCTGAACACCAAATATAATCAACAATTTCAGCACAGAACAATTTGCATGCAAAGGTAGATAGACTGTATTTGGGTTAGGGTTTGTTAAAGAACCTTGGAATACACCACCTCAAAAACTAGCTCAAGGGGTGGGAGTGTCTAAGGCCTTATAAAGGCCACATTAGTTGCCCAGATAATCAACGTGGGATTATTTATCTCAACACGCCCCCTCACGGAAGAGCTCTTTAGGCTAGAAGCGTAAAAATTGCACAGGCCCATTTTTTGTTTACCTTTTTGTGCCTTTTTATTTTTTAATTTTTAATTCCACTTGAAAGTGGGAGTCGTGAGAATCGCTCTAATATCAGAGCTTCATGATATCAGAGCTTCAGTGACCATGAGGTCACGAGTGTGCAGCACAAGGCAAACCAATAATAGGCTTGTGTCATATCCACGCTTCAAGTCCAAAGGGCTCTTGCGTGAAGGGATGTGTTAGAGAATATAATATAAATCATTAAAAAATGCCCTCGTAACCAAATGGTGGTGGCTCAGTTGGCGCATGGGAGCTAAGCAGGTGGGGTGAGGGCATGTGTTCGAACCTCCCAGTATCACCTTTGGGAGGGATTTAAAGCCTTAAATCCTGGACCCGCCCCGAATCGGACTAATCGCGAAGCGATGAACCGATGGAATATTTTCAAAAAAAAAAAAAAAATGCCCTCACCCAACACATTAAGGTTTTACGCCTTAAGGTTTTGGGTTGAAGTTGTTCTTTACAGGGGTTAGGGTTAGGGTCTCCGAAGGCGTTGCACTGTTTAAGTGCATCGAGTGCTGAGGTGAAAGGATTGAAGGAGCGAAGCTTGACGACCTTGCCGAACCTGTTCAAATCCGAAACGGATTTACGAACGGCATTGGTGTTGTGACCGATTTCGTCGATTCCGTGAGCCTCAAACAGTGCAAAACCTGAAGCAGATTCGTAGAAAAGGAACAACGCCATTTCAATGCAAAAACAGAACGAACTCACACTGAAGATGATTATGGAGCAGATTCGAAGTGGAATAATAATTAAAAAAAAATTAAAAAAAAAATTTGTTTTGGATGTTGTCACTTGTCACGCGCTCACAAAAGACTGGATGGGCTTTTGGAGCGTATTTAGCTCACGGGCTTCGTTAGCCCAATGAAAAAAATAACGCATTTATGCATCTCATATTAGTTAAACTTGCCCTTATGCTATATCCGGTAATGAAGGCTTTTTTACCATTATAATTTTTTTTTAATAATTAATTATCAAATTGATTTTATTTATAAATTATTTCAAAAATTTAACCTCTCCAGAAAATATAATATCAATATGTCTCTGTTTGACCGTTGACCTTGAAGCCTACCCGGGTACACCCCTACCTACCTGGGTATATTTTGAAAATTTTGACCTATCCGGGTACACCACTCCCTACCCTGGTATATTTCTTGAATCTGAAAAAATGTTTGAATTATTTACCCGGATAGAGAGGGGTGTACCCGGGTAAATAATCATACCTTTTTTTGCAGTTTCTACTTTCTACATGTACTGTACTTAGTTTGGTTTCTGAGAAATTTCAAATAGCATGCATTTTGAAACACAAAAGTGTTGGGCTATGCAACATCTAAAGTAATATTGATTAAGTCAACCAAAGATTTATATTGTGGTTCATGAATTCATGATCATGGTTTTCACTATTCCAGATGTAGGTAAGTGAAATTGTAGAAAACTTTTCTGTTGATACATATGAGAAGAAAACAAACCATCTAATATTCAGTAGACATGAAACGTGCTACCAAGATTAAGATCACCCACAAATGGACAAACCTATTTTTCTTGTCAAAGTTTACAATAAAAAAATATAATACCTTATCAGTAAGGGCAATGATACAAGCGGTTGATGAACCCTTGGCCTTTGTACTTGAGTGAGCCTTCTCTAACACCCTTACTGTCAAAGTTTACAAAATTCAGAGGACCATACAAAGGTTGTGGTCTTCTTAGATTCAGACTAGCTCTCAGGCAACCTTTATGAGTTCTATCTTTGAAGTACACACCAGAAGGTTTTGTGAAAAAATTCATGCAGAAGCAGAATTTCAAAAAATAAATAATAACAATCACATATTGGTCATGCGAAACGGAGGAATTTGCAAGTTGCTTATCAGGAGTGCAACCATCAAATGAGACATCATGTGCAGCCCCAGCTGAACAACAAGCAGAAGAAGGGGTAGAGAAATTCTTCAGCCATGGTCCATGAAAAGAGGAACATCCAAAATTCAGAGGACCACACAAAGGTTGTGGTCTTCTTAGATTCACACTAGCTCTCAGGCAACCTTTATGAGTTCTATCTTTGAAGTACACACCAGAAGGTTTTGTGAAGCCTAGCACACTGCCGCAACTTGAGATAAAGTCATCAACATAAACATCTCCCAACACAGCATTAAAAGGTGAAGTAGCCATTGACTTTCTAATAGGTCTGTGGCTTGAAAAGCAATGAGTGCACGCGTAGATATGAATATTTACCTGGTACACCCCTCTCTACCCGGGTAAATAATTCAAACATTTTTCCAGATTCACGAAATATACCCGGGTAGGGAGGAGTGTACCCGGGTAGGTAGGGGTGTACCCGGGTAAGCTTCAAGGTCAACGGTCAAACAGGGGCAGATTGGTGTTATATTTTATGGAGAAGTTAAATTTTTGAAATAGTTTATAAATAAGGTCAATTTGGTAATTAATTATTAAAAAAAGTTATAATGGTCAAAAAGCCAGTAATGAACCTTTTGTGTTAATTATATGGGCCTCTACTCACCTTTGGGCCCAAGTTATAGATCCGAATCACCAACCAAAAGAATATTTCCAATGCCCATATAAGAGATTAATATTTTTATTTCTTATGTTGTAGTGAATAATTTTATCTTTACGTACACATAAAAGTAACGCATTTATGCATCTCATATTAGTCAAACTTGCCCTTATGCTATATCCGGTAATGAACCTTTTGTGTTAATTATAAGGGCCTCTACTCACCTTTGGGCCCAAGTTATAGATCCGAATCACCAACCAACAAAATATTTCCAATGCCCATATAAGAGATTAATATTTCTATTTCTTATGTTGTAGTGAATAATTTTATCTTTACGTACAGATAAAAGTATTTGAGACTCATATTTTTTTCCTCTCTTCTCTTCATAAGGACTTACATAGACCTCACACGCTTTTATATGTATATAGAAGATAAAATTATTTCCTACAATATGATAAACATTCATCCCTTCCCCTTCTTATAAAATCAAAGTGTTCATGAAAACAAAGGAACAACAGTTAAAAGAGATTAAAAAATAGAAGAATGTTGATATTCCAATGTGATTACACGAATTTAAAAGTAAATTATTAAGATAGAATAATAAATTTTTTGTTTGTAATTTTAGGTGTTATCTTTGTACGTTATATTTTTTTTCCCTTAATCAGATTAGTTATGAATAGTTTTAAAAGATATTTAAAAGAAAATAAAGAAGAAGAAAAAAGGAAGAAAATTGAAAAATTCAATGCAAAAAATCTAAGGCATGTACTATATTGGTTATTTGATCAATGTGCCCTTTTTTTCATTTAAAAAGTACTACTTTGCCTTCATTCTAAAATTATACACTAATCTGCCCTTGTTTGACCAATATACAGCATATGACCATATACTCAAGTATATCAAGCTTCATGAACATATATACCCGAGTATATGACCTAGATACTCGAATATATGAGCATGTACTCAAGTATATGTTCAAAAAAAACTTCTACATAACTTCTATGGAACATAACTTTTCGAAAAGTGATGTGAAATAAAAAAAAACACTTGATTTGGACATCCCGAGTCAAAAGTTATGACCTTCCGAAGTTTTATAAAAAAAATTCCAAAATTTTATAACGTCAATAGTTTATGTGATACCTCCTCCTCAGGTTACTCGTAATATTGGACTTGATTCAAGTAACATGAGAAAGAGTTTTGTGAGTATCACAAAACCTATTGACATTACAAAATTTTAAAAAAAAAAATTATAAAATTTTGGAATGCCATAACTTTTGACGAGTGTGTCCGAATTCACACTAATGATGAAAAATTATAAAAAATGAAGTGGATGTTTTCACTGGTTAAAATCTTGATTTATCACTAGGACGGTATGTTTTTTATGATATTTTTATCAAAATAATTTTACCAATATTTTAAAGGTTTTTACATTTGTATGATTTTTTTACGTTATGATTTTATATTTTACGATTTTTTATTCTTCTTTGGATTTTACGTATTTTAACTACCTTATCATGTGTGCTCGCACAAAAATGGATGGGCTTTTGGAGCGTATTTAGCTCATGGGCTTTATTAGCCCAATGAGAAAAAATAACGCATTGGCAGGCTTTACGCATCTCATATTAGTTAAACTTGCCCTTGTGTTCATTCCAACAAAAAAAAAAAAAAAACACTTGCCCTTATGCTTTATCCGGTAATGAATCTTTTGTGTTAATTATATAGGCCTCTACTGACCTTTGGGCCTTAGTTATAAATACGAATCAACAACCAAAAAAATATTTCTACGGAATCATCTCACATGCCCATATTTCATTTATTATTGGAATTAATATTTCTCATATTGTTAGAGATAATTTTATCTCTTACATACATATAAAAATATATAGAGCTCGTGTAAAGAGAAGAAATAGAAAAGAAAATAGGAACTCACATACTTTTATGTGTTTGTAGGAGATAAAATTATCTCCTAAAATATGAGAAATATTAATCTCTTTATTATAAAACCAAAGTGTTTATGAAAACAAAGGAATAACAGTTAAAAAAGATTAAAAAAATAGAAGAATGTTGATATTCCAATGTGATTACACAAATTTAAAAGTAAATTATTAAGATAGAATAATAATTTTTTTGTTTGTAATTTTACGTGTTATCTGTGTACATTATATTTTCCTCCCTTAATCAGATTAGTTATGATTAGTTCTAAAAGATAAGTAAAAGAAAATAAAGAAGAAAAAGAAAGGAAGAAAATTGAAGAATTTAATGCAAATGTTCTAAGGCATGCGCGGGTTGTACTGTACTATATCACATAAAGAATGGACATTATGTTATTGGTAAGATGTGTGGTGGCCAAGTTGCATCCTACGTACTTGTCAATATGCTTGGTTGATTCAGCATCTTTCATCTGCACCTTCTTGTTTGTCTCCTCATCACAAATTAACTAACCCATGTTTTACTAGCAGTCAAAGAAAAATAAGCTTGGCTTGTAACATATAATTTGCCTGTTAAAACGACTTTTGGGATGCGTTATCATTGTACTTGTAAAATAATGCTACCAATTTGGGTCATGATGGTGATTATTTTTTGGTCTGTGCAATGGATTGATTATCTCTTGATAGATACGACAGTTACTAGAATGCTTGGCTAATAATCAAATTTCCCAGGGGATAAGGTTATGGTAATTAGTGAAATTGAAATTTTCCTCTTAACTCTTTCAAAATTCCAGTCACCAAAATCCAAGAATGCCCAATTATGGTAAGATTTTGTATTGAGGTTCTTGTCGTTCATGCATGTCTTGGAGCACCAACTATCACGTATGGGGTACCTGGGCTTGACAGCATGCCTTCACATCTGACCAGTTAATTGGGGAATTAATTGATTCACCAGCTTGACCCCAAAGAATGAAAGAAATCAGTGGGCCAAAAATTTATTTTAAGAAATCACAAAAATGGGTTTGGATAGAAAACTTTTCATTTCTGATTTAAATTTTAATTCGCCCAAGCCATCTCATAGTTTGAATATATGTAAAGGTTGATCGATTATTCAATTGATTCGGTTCAAGAACTGTCAAATCCATTATAAGAGATGGCTCTTCTAAGATTATTTTTTCCTTTTACATGACTCGAACTATAAACCTTTAATTAAGGGAAACCAATTCTTTCTCACTTGAACCAAGCTCAGAACC